CAGGTAGAGAACAGAGTACCTGAACAGGTAGAGAACAGAGTACCTGAGCAGGTAGAGAACAGAGTACCTGTGTGTGTGTGTACTTTGTTGTACTTCTACCTGCTAAAAGGTAAATTGAATTGGTCATGTGGAACGTGCAGCTGCTTTTACGTTTATTATGGGATGGTCTGGAGGAACCGGTCCCCTGTGAACCTGCTGGTCCTCCGATGAAGACTGAAGCCTTTTGAAGAGACGCTCCGCTGGTCACATACCAACCGTCTCACCTCCTCTCCTCCTGACAGTTTAATTAAACACTCACTGTTTTATTAAAAATACTCAAAGTGGCACTTTTGTTGACGACCGAGGTCAAAGAGAGATCAAAGAGACATTATTAACTCTACACGCACACACACACAGCCGTTTGTTTTCATCATGTGTGTTTATAAACATCAGTGATGCGTTTCCTGTTCCTGTTTTTATTTATTTTATCAGTAAAGAACTAAATAATCTTTTTATTTCTCAGGTTCCAGTAAGTGACTTTTTGGTTCTAACTGGCTCTATCAATATGTTGCTCTACCAATATGTTGCTCGACCAATATGTTGCGCTATCAATATGTTGCTCTACCAATATGTTGCTCTGTCAATATGTTGCTCTGTCAATATGTTGCTCTATCAATATGCTGCTCTGTCAATATGTTGCTCTATCAATATGTTGCTCTATAAATAAATGATTGAAGGTTTCATCAGTGAGCCAAACAAAGGAGTGCTAGAGCTAGGCTAGCGTCTTTATGCTAAGCTACAGGATGTGTCTGAAATGAATAACAAAGTGATGACAGAGCTATGCTAACTTCTTTATGCTAAGCTAAGCTACAGGATGTGTCTGAAATTAATAACAAAGTGATGACAGAGCTATGCTAACGTCTCTATGCTAAGCTAAGCTACATGATGTGTCTGAACTGAAGGACAAAGTGACGACCGAGCTACGCTATCGTCTCTATGCTAAGCTAAGCTACAGGATGTGTCTGGACTGGACTCAGACAAGTGAAGTCTCTTGACATTAAATGTTCCACTTTCAGAAATGTTCAAAGAACAAAAACAGAATCTCCTGCAGCGAAACATGGAGAACAAAAAGAGACTTTTTGTTTTGGTTCATGAGGAGTTAACGAGCCGCAGGAGTCCCTCGTTAATACTAATTGAGTTAATTAGAGGAGGCTTTTAATTGGGCCAAGTGGCTGCAGGGAGAGAGAGGAGGTCACTGGAGACTTATTAATTATTGATCAATCACCAACTTCTGCAAAACATTTGGAACATTTACCTTCATCTTCTTCTGCAAAGACTAAAACATTCAATGGAAATGTTCAAGAACTAATAATTAATAATTCGTATCGTTAATAAATCTCCACCTTCAGACAGACTTCACGCTTTAAATGATCGTTTATTATAAATCGTATTATTACCAATGAACACGAGTGCAAATATCAGTTATATTGTAGACTTTACTGTAGAAAACACAAATATACTCAAGAAGAGTCTCATATTTAACAATTTTACTACAAATTTGAAAATTGGGAATATTTATATCTTATGTAACATATTTATGTACAAATACAACCAATAATGTTCAAAATGAACAGAATTAAAAAGAGAGAATATCATTAATATGATCACAACGTTTTTATATGATGTCACCATAAGTCAAAGGGATTGATTTCAATTTGAATGAATTTGAAATCTGTGATCTTGTGACCGCGTCTCACCTGGACTGGACTCAAGTGTCTCTGGTTTCAGGTGTCTCGCCTGGGCTGGACTCACCTGTCTCAGGTATCTCACCTGGACAGAGCTCACCTGTCTCAGGTTTCAGGCGTCTCACCTGGACTGGACTCACCTATCTTAGGTATCTTACCTGGACAGAGCTCACCTGTCTCAGGTTTCAGGTATCTCACCTGAACTGGACTCACCTCTCTCAGGTTTCAGGTGTTTCACCTGAACTGGACTCACCTCTCTCAGGTTTCAGGTATCTCACCTGAACTGGACTCACCTCTCTCAGGTTTCAGGTATCTCACCTGAACAGGGCTCACCTGTCTCAGGTTTCAGGTGTTTCACCTGGACTAGACTCACCTGTTTCAGGTGTCTCACCTGAACTGAACTCACCTGTCTCAGGTGTCTCACCTGAACTGAACTCACCTGTCTCAGGTGTCTCACCTGAACTGGACTCACCTGTCTCAGCTGTCTCACATGAACTCTGGTGCCTCTGTCCTCTACAGGTGTTACTCAGGCGATGGTCGAGGCTCTCAAGCTGCAGAAGATGAGAATGATGATGGGTTTCCATGGCAACAGCGATCTGCACCGTCAGCACAACGGTGCTGAGTCAGAGAACGACGACACAGGTAGAGCATGACATCATCATCATGCCATCATCCACATGACATCATCATCCGTCTCTGAACCTAAACCTTTGTGTGTCCTCGTCTCACGTCCTCGTCTCATGTCCTTGTCCTTGCCCCCCCCGTAGGAGGCAGTGAAGGATCCTGGGAGAAGGAGCAGCGCCTCCTCTCTCCTCCCTCCTCCTCCTCAGCTGTAGCTCCTCCTCCTGGTTCCTCTCTGCAGCATCACAGCACCCTATTGGCCAACCGTGAGTAACGTCTCTCCTCTGATTGGACAACTCAACAGCTTTATCGTTGTTAGCCTAGCATCGTACCATTCCTTTGTTTATCTGGCTCCGCCTCCTCAGGTCTGTCAGACTTTCCTTTTATGGTCATGCCACACACCCTCCTCCCCGTGGGCCTGCCCCCTGCCCGCGTTGCCATGGCGATTAACCAGATGAGTCAGCTGAGCGGTTTGGCAAACATGGCCGTCGTGTCACATGTTCAACTAGAAGAGAGCAAGGTGACTGCAAGCTAACACCGCTAGTGCTAAAATTGCTAATGCCTTTTACTATTGATTCCTGCTGGTAAAAATGCTACCGTCACTGCTAACCACACACCTGCTAACAGCGCTAATGCTAATCCTCTCTCCTCCGTGTTCAGGAGTCTTCTCCAGGAAGCCCCTCCCCTTGCCCCTCCCCCAGTGACGATCCCCGAGAACCAACCAGCCAATCACATTCCAAAGCCTCTTCATCCTCCTCTTCATCACCTCCTCCTCCAGCAGACTCACCGGAGCTTGGTCAGTTCTGTAGATTAAAATCATTTTAATGACATATTAATATAATACACCAACAGACCTGCTGTCTTCAGGTGCATCAGTGACTTTGTGTTGTGATGAACTCCACAGACGGAGAGATCAACTTTAGAAAGGTGTTGAAAGAAACAGGTAAGTCATCTTATCTCTGATTGGAGGATCGAGAAGTGATGTCACAGCGAGGAAACACGACGTCATCCTTCATTTAGGTTTTTAATCAGACCAACACTCCACTTTACTAGAAACCTGTGATTTGAAAACATCAGTTTGATAAAAAACTGAACTTGTAATAAATATCATATTTAGTTAAATGGTCTTTCAGCAATAAACACTTTTTAATTGTTTAATTGATTGACATCTGACCTGTATCTGATTCCATGTGGTTTCTGCTGTTCACACATACGAGTAAAGAAATATTATTTGGGTCACTTTTGGGACAAACAGGAGAGAAACAACAGACACATAAATAATAGAAACACACAAATACTATGTGTTACATTCCCAGATGTCCTCACAAAGATAGACATATAAAAGCACACATAAACAAACAAAGAGCTCATGAATAATAAAAACAGGAAGCTTGTCTCCACCTTTTAGAAAACGTCTTTAAATATTCAAGAGGTTGTTTGTTTAGTGGCTGAAACAAAAAAACACGTCAACAACCAGAAAACAGGTCTATTGTTTGTGACACATTTCTGTCTTAACTTTCTTTGTACCTGGAGCTGACAGCCTGATGCCCCTCCCCCTCCTCAAACCGACCTACGAGAAGCTGGCGCTCACCTCTCAGCCGCTGTCTTTCAACCACGCAAACCCCGCCTTCGCTCCACTCCTGTTGACTGAGGGTTTGTCTTCAATGGAGACGCTGCTGATCAACATACAGGTGACAATGTTACCTGAAACAATGTAGAGATGATTAAAGATGATAACGTACAGACGGTATCATTGAGACTACAATGTAGAGACAGTATCATGGAGACGATAATGTAGAGACAACAACGTACAGACGGTATCATTGAGAAGACAATGTAGAGACGATAACATACAGACAGTATCATTGAGACGACAATGTAGAGACGATAACATACAGACAGTATCATTGAGACGACAATGTAGAGACAATAACATACCGACAGTATCATTGAGACGACAATGTAGAGACAACAACATACAGACGGTATCATTGAGACGACAATGTAGAGACGATAACATACCGACAGTATCATGGAGACGACAATGTAGAGACGACACTGTAGAGACAGTATCATGGAGACGACAATGTAGAGACGACAATGTAGAGACAACAACGTACAGACGGTATCATTGAGACGACAATGTAGAGACGACAACGTACAGACGGTATCATTGAGACGACAATGAAGAGACAACACTGTAGAGACAGTATCATGGAGACGACAACGTACAGACGGTATCATTGAGATGACACTGCAGAGACAGTATCATTGAGACGACAATGTGGAGAAGATAACGTCTTTGTGTCCTCAGGGTCTCATAAAGATGGCGGTGGACCGCGTTCGTTCTCAGGACAAACACAACCAGCTGGAGAGGAAAGCTTTAAAAGTGGAACTGGAGAGAGAGAGAGACGCACGACAAATACTCCAGAGACAGCTGACCTCCGAGCTACAGACAAGAGGTGAGACAGGTCACTACTACATTATTTTGGTCTGTTGACTCATAGTGGTTCGTTGACTTACTATTATGGTCTGTTGACTTATTTTGATCTGTTGACATATTGTTTTGGTCTGTTGACTCATTATTATGGTCTGTTGACTTATTTTGATCTGTTGACATACTGTTGACATATTGTTGTGGCTAAGTGGATAGCAGGTGCCGTCTTTCAATCAGAGGGTCGGCGGTTCAATCCCCGGCTCCGGCTCTGCTAGTCGCATGTCGATGTGTCCTTGAGCAAGACACTTAACCCCAAAAATTGCTCCGTAGTTGTGCCTACGGTGTAGAAATGTGATAGAATCTGAATTGTAAGTCGCTTTGGATAAAAGCGTCTGCTAAATGAATGTAATGTAATGTTTTGGTCTGTTGACATATTATTATGGTCGGTTGACTCATTATGGTCGGTTGAGTCATTATTATGGTCTGTTGACTTATTATTATGGTCGGTTGACTCATTATTATGGTCTGTTGACTTATTATGGTCGGTTGACTCATTATTATGGTCGGTTGACTTATTATTATGGTCGGTTGACTTATGGTCGGTTGACTCATTATTATGGTCGGTTGACTTATTATTATGGTCTGTTGACTCATTATTATGGTCGTTGACTTATTATTATGGTCGTTGACTCATTATTATGGTCTGTTGACTCATTATTATGGTCTGTTGACTTATTATTATGGTCGGTTGACTCATTATTATGGTCTGTTGACTTATTATTATGGTCGGTTGACTCATTATGGTCGGTTGACTCATTATTATGGTCGGTTGACTCATTATTATGGTCTGTTGACTTATTATGGTCGGTTGACTCATTATTATGGTCGGTTGACTTATGGTCTGTTGACTTATTATTATGGTCGGTTGACTCATTATTATGGTCTGTTGACTTATTAATATGGTCTGTTGACTCATTATTATGGTCGGTTGATTCATTATTATGGTCTGTTGACTTATTATTTTGGTCTGTTGACTCATTATTATGGTCTGTTGACATATTGTTTTGGTCTGTTGACTCATTATTATGGTCTGTTGACTCATTATTATGGTCTGTTGTCTTATTATTATGGTCTGTCATTGTTAGTGTCGATCCAGAGAAGGCTGAAGAAGGAGAAGAAGGCAAAGAGGAAGCTGCAGGAGGCGTTAGACATTGAGTCGAGGAGGAGAGAGCAGGTGGAAAGAGCGCTCACAGGTGAATGCTAAGCTACATGAGCACAGCCCTAGGCTACATTAGCACAGTGCTAACAACGTGTTTCTGTTTCAGATGCAGTGATTCCTGAGAGAGAACTGGAGAACAAACAGCAGGAAAACTCTTTAGCTCAAGGTAACGACAACAAAAATACATCTCATATAAAGAAATAACGACAAAGTCAGATGGGAAGTCAGACAGGACATCAAACAGGAAGTCAGACAGTATTCAGAGACAAACTAACTTGTTGGTTTGAGTTCAATTATAAAGGATTTGATGCCGATAATAAAAAATTAGGAAAATATCAGAATTATACCGTTACAACAAATGTAAAGATAATAAACAGCCGCAGCGGAAAGAAAATAAATCAGTAGAGAATTATCTTGATAATTGATTAACAGTTAGTCGATCATCATGTAAAGTCTATGAGTCACATGTTATTTTGATTTTTATGAAACAATCCGATGAATCTGAAGCTGAAACGTCTGAAGAGTTTCTGTCACTTTAAATAATGTTGGTGTTTGTCCACTGTGAAATAGAATCAAGGAAAACAATCACAAACTACACAGCAGAACACACACACTATCTGCTTACCTCACTCTGCACTATGTCAACTAACATTGTCATTGTTGGTGATTTAAATATCCATGTCGACAACCCCTCCTGTCAGTTTGCAGCAGATTTCCTGAGTGTGCTTGAGTGTCTTGGCCTGCAGCAGCATGTTGAGGTTCCCACTCACACCAAGGGGCACACTCTGGATCTGGTTATCACTGACTCTGCTTCCATCAGTAACCTACAGGTGTATGATCTCGGTGTGTCCAACCACAAGGTGGTCTCAATGGCCTTGACTTTTGTGCTGCCTACTATTAGATCTAAGCGTCAAATGTCTTTCCGGAACTGGAAAAGCATTGACTCAGCCACTATGACCACGGATCTCCAGCTCATCACCTGCCCAGCCTCTGCATCAATGGATGAATTAGTGGAACTCTATAATACATCCCTGAGCAGTGTTTTTGTTCTCCATGCCCCTGTCAAGTCACGTGAGGTCAATTTCTCACGCTCCGCTCCATGGTTCACAGATGAGCTGCGGAAAATAAAAACAGCTGGGCGTGTTCTGGGACGACGCTGCAGACACTCTGGGCTCACTGTCCATAAACAGGCTTTCCATGAGCATCAAAGGGCCTACTCCAACTCCCTTAAAGATGCTCGCTCACAGTACTATTCCAGCTTAATCAATAAAAACCTTGGCAACTCTAAACAGCTTATTTCAATCATAAACCATCTCCTGAAGCCACAACCATCCTCTTCAACTGAGGCTACAGAGGAGCAATGCAACAGCTTCATTGACTTTTTCAGATCCAAGGTCAACAACATTCGCTCTCTGATGTCCAGCTCTCCATCTATGCTTCCCTCTGACACCAACACCTTACCTGCGAGTGTGCTGTCTCCTCTACATCTCGCTGAGGTTCAGGAGAGCCATGTTGAGGAAATCCTCAGAAAAATGAAACCCTGTACCCTGGACCCCATTCCTCCTGCTCTGCTCAAATCACATATCCCCACTCTCAGTCCTTTGATCACCAAAGTTGTTAACCTTTTCCTGCAGTCTGGCTGTGTCCCACCTGCACTCAAGGTTGCTGTCATCCGTCCCCTTCTCAAGAAGCCCACCCTGGACCCGGAGGTTCTAGCCAACTACAGGCCTATCTCCAACCTCGCCTTCCTGTCCAAAGTGTTAGAGAAGGTAGTTGCTTCTCAACTTCGGGACCACCTCAAACACAACAACTTGTTTGAAACATTTCAGTCAGGATTTCGTTCAGCCCACAGCACTGAAACAGCTTTGCTCAGGGTGACGAATGACCTGCTGATGACAGCCGATGCAGGATCACCCTCACTCCTCATCCTCCTGGACCTGACTGCTGCATTTGACACAGTGGATCACACTATCCTCCTAGAGCGCCTCCACACCACCATTGGACTATCAGACTCTGCACTCAAGTGGTTTCAGTCCTACCTTTCAGGCAGAACTGAATATGTCTCACTGGGAAGATGCAAGTCCAGACTGCTCCCCGTCTCCTGTGGTGTTCCGCAAGGGTCGGTCCTCGGCCCCATCCTCTTCATTATTTACATGCTCCCCCTCGGTCGTGTCATCAGCAGACATAGAATGTCTTTCCACTGTTATGCCGACGATACACAGCTCTACATCAAAGCTGCCCCAAGCCCCTCTGCAGCCATGTCATGTCTCACCTCCTGTCTTGGAGAGATAAAGGCGTGGATGAGCAACAACTTTCTCCAGTTAAACAGTAGCAAAACTTCAGTCATCCTCCATAACTCATCTCACCTTCGACGGTCAGGTCATCCCCCTCTCCTCCACAGTCACTAATCTGGGAGTTAGGTTTGACCCTTACCTGATCTTTAATGACCATATAAAACATCTGTGCAAAACCTCCTTTTATCATCTCAAAAACATCTCCAAACTCCGCCCCACTTTAACCCAGTCAGATGCAGAGAAGCTCGTCCACACCTTTATCTCCTCAAGACTGGACTACTGTAACTCACTATTCACTGGGATCACTGCCAAGGACATCCAGAAGCTGCAATACATCCAAAACAGCGCTGCCAGGATCCTGATGAGAATCCGGAAGTATGAGCACATAACACCCATTCTGCACTTACTACACTGGCTCCCTGTCTCATTCCGGATTGACTACAAAGTCCTACTACTCACACATAAATGCATAAATGGACACGCACCTCCCTACCTACAAGAGCTCATCACTCCCCAAATCTCCACCCGCACCCTCAGATCATCAAACAGCTCGCTCCTCCGGGTCCCCAACACCAAGCTCCGCACCATGGGCGACCGGGCCTTTGTCTCGGCAGCTCCACGCCTATGGAACAGACTCCCTGACCACCTAAGGGCAACACAAACACTGGTCTCTTTAAGACCGGCCTAAAAAGCTTTCTATTCAGGAAGGCCTTTCTGACCTAAATCACTGTCAGTTATTTATTTTGTGTTTCTGTTCATTCACTGGTTTTGTATTATGTTTACTAGTTATTTTATTCTAGTTTGTTTTTACTATGTTTAACTATGTACTGGCTCTGTGGCACTCTGAGATTTTTTTAATGAAAAGTGCGTTACAAATAGAATGCATTATTATTATTATTATTACTAACACACACACACACACACACACACACACACTAACTGTTACGACCGGGCTCGAAGGCTGCAACATAGGGAGACAAGATGAGTGATAAATGTAATAAATAGACATTTATTTAACGAACAAATAACCACTAAACAAAAACAAACAAACAACCAAAGAATTAATCAAATGAAGCCGCTGCCATGAGGAGAGGAGGGGAGGCACCTCGCCATGTTCAGGTGGTGCATCTTTATAGCCGGCCATTTCCAGCAGGCTCAGGTGGGCTCGTTAGATGCCGATCAACATCCTGAAAGACAGTGGGCAGCAAACCGGACACAGACCCCTAGTGGATGAGAGGGGTCGTCACACTAACACACAAACACTAACACACACACAGATAATAAGATTCATTCATCAAAGTGTTGATGTGTTGTCGAGCTTCAGCTTCATTTTCACGTGACAGACTTTTATTATGAAAAGTTCTCATTAGAAACAAACATGTGGATTTTCTTTAACGAGGTCTGAAGACTTGTTACCTGAAGATGTAAATAATTTAAATAAAAACTGAAATGAACTTCCTGTTTTACTGCAGAAAACCGAGCGTTCATCAAACCTTCACCTGTCTTCTGAGACCTCAGACCACATGATGAGGAAGAGGATGAAGAGGAGGAGCTGAGGAAGAGCTGATGAAGAAGAGGAGCTGATGAAGAAGAGGAGCTGATGAAGAGGAGGAACTGATGAATAGGATGAAGAGGAGGAGATGATGAAGAGGAGGAGACCTGAAAAAGTAAACCAGACAAAAGACGCCTCAAAAACAAGAGAGGAACTGAAAACTCAAAATCCCATCAGCCACTTCTCCTTTAACTATCATCATTATTGTTATCCCGTTAGCCCCGCCTGGACAGTTATCACCTGTAGGGGGTGGAGCCACACCTGAACTTGAATTTAATCTTCCTTTACTGCTGTAAAACTTGTGTTTAGTAGTTACAAGTCGTAGTACTGGTACTACCTGCAGTACTTAATGTAGTAGAAGTACTGTTGCTGTTCATTTATCGGGTTTCTCAATGTATTAAGAAACATAACTTAACGAGTTCTGACTCTTAACGAGTTCTGACCCTTAACGGGTAAAGAATCACAGGTGGGCATGGTCAGACGGGCAGCATCCTGCTTAACGAGCTGTTCTTAACGAGGCAGCAGCAGATTAGTTGATGTTTTTAGTGTACAGTAAACAGTGTTTATTGTTTGTTTTTAAGTGTAAATACTGAACGTGTTCATTAAACATTTTAGAATTAAAGGTGAAACCGTTAAAGTGATTGAAGTCCCGATGAGGTCACAGCCTGAAGTCATGTGACTTCATCTTTCAATAATTCAAACTTTATCGGTTTGTTTACTTTTGTAGTTGGTCATTAAAATATTTAAAACATTAATTTACTCTACTGACATGTCTCCTCCTCTTCATCATCATCTTCAAACTTTTTAAAAATGTTTTTCTTTTTTCTTCATAGAGTCAGTTCTGTTCTCTGATTGGTCCAAACCATGTGTGTGTGAGATAGATGGAGGTGTGAATTGTGTCGTGACATTAACCCGCTGTGTTTTAGCCTAGTTTTCCCTCCATCACACACACACACACTCTCACACACACACACATGTAGGTGTGTGTGTGTGTGATCTGATTGGTCGGCTCTTCCTGTCACTGTGATGAATGTGACCAACAGAGGAATCAGAGAGAGTAAACATATATACGTATATATATATATATACATATACATATATATACATATACATATATAT